GTTAAACCAATGATATTTCACAGGCCCAGGGAGGAAGGATGCATCTGGGTGACAGCACAGGGGCTGAGTAGGGTAACCTACAACACAAGTCACGTGAGCTAATGAAGAAGAACGGAGGATAATTGTTGGCTGTAAGTCAGAGACAAATTTTAGTTTCCCCCTTACAAAAATGTCAGATCAAATCGGACTTACTTTCTTCAGGGCATCTAAACTGACATCCGCTGTACCAAACCAAATGAAAACTGCATTCTGCTCTAAAGCAACCCCCCACAGAAGGTGCTTTATTTTGAGATACTAGACTGGACTAAAAGCAGTACACTGCTTAGATCCAGAGTAGATACTCACTTAAGACAGTCAAGTAAAGCACAGCATGCTTTTGCAGGAAAATGTAACACAAGGCAACGTTTCTCAGAACCGCTAAAGGCCGTTAGCCGTCAATAGTTATGGCAGATGAATCCCTCAGTGATGTGGGCTCTAGCTAACCTGCTGCTGCCATTTTATCTTTTTCAAAAGCAGGGTTATTTCTTGTCATGGAACTGAAGAGTTTGAGACAAGCCCAGCTGTCGAGATAGGTTAGAACCATGCTTAACGCACAAACACGTAGAGCCCAGCACTTGCCAGTAAATACACAGAGATGAATCTATTCTGTTCAAGGAGAGTTTAAAACCTAGGGCAAGGACCACGCTTAACAGAACAGTAACTGTAGAGAAAACCATGGCACAGGACCAGAGCTTTCCCTGGGTGCGGATGCTGCATCCATCTCCCTGCGCTGTCGCATCTCTGCAAGTTCTTGCTGCACAGCTCCCCGCAAGAGGGAGCTGGGTCCTGGCAGACGCTTTCAGCGCGCCCCAGCAGCTCAAAGGCACCAGCAAAGCTACCGCCTCTCAACCCCAGCTTCTCTTCTCAAGGGAAGATGGCAAATCATCTATTTGAGCTGTCTCTTAGCTGCCCAAACCTGGCAAAACAAAACATCAACAGAGATTTTTACACTGCTTGGAAATACCTAACTGAGCTACAGCCCCACACACAATAATGGTAAAATGCTTTACAGAGCATTTGGCTAAGCTGCTGTAGAAGCCAAGGGCCCTGATATTTCAGAATTCAAAATAGCAAAATAATCTTCATAGACATTTGGACAAGTGTTTCTATTTTTATTGCCTTACCCCGTACCAACAGGATTTAAAATGTCAATAGAAAGGTTTTTGTATTAGACAACTGAGACTAATAACTACTTATTTAGTACAAATGCAAGGGCGTCTGTCCTCGCTGTTGCTGTCATACCCGTTATTCCCAGGTACTCGGGTTTCTGTTTCCAAAGAACGAGAAAGTGAACTGCATGAAACAGCCCCAGCTCTGAGGGCTGCAGCAAGGTGACCGATGGTTCTGCCCTGTGCCAGGGATGCCCTTCCCGGCACTCTGCATTTTTAACAGGCGCAGGCAACCCGCCGAGAACAACCAAGATCTCCACTAGCCATCCCTCATCTTCCTCAGCACAGGAGAGACTGCCACTGCTGATTTCTGTGCCGACAGGAGCTAAGTTCTGTTCTTCCCTCGGGCATTAAACACCCCAAAACAGCCCCGATGACACCACCCTGCAGCGGCAGGAGCTGGGGAAGGTACGGGGAATTATTAGAGGCCAAACCAGGTACAGGGTTGATTGATTGACATATTCCAAATGCTGGAGATCCACTTACAGCAAAGCAGAAGCCATGTACAACATTTTATTTCCTATCTCGCATTCACTGTCTGTAGTACAGTGAAGTAGAATTAAAAGCAATTAAGTTGTATGTACAAAAAGCGAAATGTTTGTTCAAATTGAGCCAATTAATTTCCTAGAAACCAAGTTAAAACAGACTACTTGTAAATGTCATTACAGAAAGGCCTTTCGAAATTACGCTCTTCTGCTATTGAAGACGATGTAAAGGGCCCTTCCAGCAGGAGGGGACAGCAGGACTCGAGGGCGGCGCTACAGACACCAAAGGGGCCTTTTAACAAAAAACCCAACAAACCAATCCGTTGAGCAATTTGTGGGGTAGAGCTGCAGCTCCACTCTTCCTACTGGAGCAGTAATTAAAGCAGGACAGAGGAAGCCTGAGATTGCCGTCACCCTCCCATCTTCCAGAGAAACCCAAGATCGCCTGGTGTTTTCCACCGGCCCCGCTCCGGGCGCTGCTGCCCGTCGGGCTGACACCCCCCCAACCGCACCGAGCCCCGGCGCCCACCGGCAGCCGCCGCCGCCCCCCCCCCCAACCACCCCCC